ACACATTCTTAAAAGAGTTTATAAGAACACCAAGCCTTACTATGATGAATAAATTAATGTGATGAAGGTCCAGCATATATATCAAGTGACCCTACTTATGGGAGTACAATGAGTAATGTTATTGTTGTTTGTCCAGCGTATCAAGTGAGCTGAGTTTGTGACACAAACATTTAAGAATTAAAATTCGTCTCTAATAAAAAAAAAAGTGGAAATTGTAGAGCAGAATTGTTCACTCTAGGAATCAATTACAACCTTATAGTTTTGACTTTCATGTAATCATAATGTTGCTTCAATTGAATTGGAAAAAAAAAATAGATGCCATTACATCAATGTATGTACAAGAGTAATTAGAGTTTGGTTTCAAATTAAAGGAGAATAAATGTAGAGAAGAACAAGTTTAAATTAGACATGTATTAACTACCATAAAGAATCATAAATACGAGACAAAATTACTTATATCGATTTGATTATCTTTATTAAATCACTGGAAACGTTTAGTTTCAATAATAAAATAATAGTATATTAATTGAGACCAACCTACTAAAACTTAAATCTTAATATTATAAGCTAGAGAGAAAGGAAAAATAGAAACAAAAAGAGGAGGAGAGAAAAGAGTGTATGTGTAGATAGACTGCAAGTCTAACATACATTGTTGATAGATTCTTTATATATTTGTTGACATTTTCAAAGATTAAAAGTTTCTTCTCATTCCTATAGTAAAAAGCCACAAGAGAAAGTAAGTTCTTATAGTTCAATCTTTAAAGTCTTCTCATATGTCCACAAAAGTCTTCCTTACCTACTTTGTTCATATATAATGCGTCAGAGATCGAGTAAATTCAATAATAAACGTTTGTTGGTATTCCAATCTTCTTTCTCTTTTTAGGTAGAGCTAATACGAAAATTTTAGTTTATCGGTAATAAAACGTAACTACTATTCAGCTATGAGGGAAATGAGTGAAAAATAACTATATGCAATAAAAGAGAAAAGGATCGTTGATTGCTACTTAGAACCTAGCAGTTAAAATGTTAATAGTAGTAATAAACAGACATGCTATGAATTAGCTACAAATGTGATGTCTTTAATATCTTCATAAGANGCTTTGTTCATATATAATGCGTAAGAGATCGAGTAAATTCAATAATAGACGCTTGTTGGTATTCCATTTTCTTTCTCTTTTTAGGTAGAACTAATACGAAAATTTGAGTTTATCGGTAATAAAACCTAGCTATTGTTCAGCTATGAGGGAAATGAGTGAAAAACAGCTATATGCAGTAAAAGAGAAAAGGATCGTTGATTGCTACTTAGAACCTAACAGTTAAAACGTTAATAGTAGTAATAAACATACGTTAATAGTAGTAATAAACATACATGCTATGAATTAACTACAAATGTGATGTCTTTAATATCTTCATAAGATATAAGTTGCACGAAATGAACATGTTCAATATTAATCAAGCTTATTGCATCGTACACTTCTAAATTTATTCTCTTAAGATTTTTGGTTTCCTTCCATCCTTCTCCTCTTAGTTAGGGTGTTACTTGTGAAACACGTACATAGAAACTAGTGTATATATATATATATATATATATATGACAAATAATAGTTTAGGACCAATCCATAAGGTTAACAAGGGATCTCATGTATAAACGACGAAATTAAACTTCCAAAGGAGGCAACGTTAGAAGACCCTTAGAATAAAGAAACAAGAAAGAATACACTTATTATGTCGGTGCATATAAATTAAATCCATACAAGGAAGGGCTTTTTTGAGACTTTAAACGCAAATAAAGATGCATAATAGAATGAAGTCAACATCAATCATCGGCTGCTCATTTCTTATAGAAATTATCAAATTCGAAGATAATCTACAACCCAGAACAACGAAACCAGTTCAAAGAAGTTGGCAAAATCCAGCATCTTAGGTTTAATACAACAAAAGTTATGTCTCACTAGAAATACATAACTTGGCAGACATACATCCCCGGAGTTTCAAACCTGTGCACAAACTGCTGTCGGGGGTATAAAAAGAAATAGTACTCAAAATGAGAAAAACATGCTCCCTTTGGGACTTAGTTGTTGCTTCCATCTTCAATTCCCTGTATCAATTATGAGTAACAAAAGCCAATATAGTTTCAGATAACAGTAAAAATGGTTTTGAGAAAGTAAAGGGAATATATTAACCAAGTCTACTCATTCTCTGAAGATAAATGTATGAATTATGAGAACAATAATTTACATAAAATTGGGTAACCACTTTGACCTGTAAATATTTAACACCAATAACAATGTCACCATCCGATAGAATAGTTATCCTGATACAGTACACGAAAATATAGGCTAATGAAAACAATCAACTCAAGAAAATCCCTGGTTAGTGATACTAGGCAAAAAGTGAGTCCAACGGGTTATGTGCACCAAATTTCCCTATTATAATATAAAATGCATCTCATATGTTGTGCATGTCTTTTTTCTTTATGGTTGCAAAAGAATAAAAATTTAGTGTTGTCAAATTATAATGGAAGAACGATTCATTTTATATATATATACACACACACCATATTTGTTACTAGTTACGACACAAGCCCATGCCCGCACGCTTTAGGCCATGTCCATCCGCTTTAGGCCTAGGCCTGCACGCATTCGTCTTTTTTGGCTACGCCACCTCGAGCCCCAAAAGCACGCGTATCTTGTGAACTTGTGTCATGCCTTGTAAAGTTCTTCACTTTCATTTCCCTTGCCTAGAAGTCTGCAAGTCCTGCCTGACCTACCCTCATCAGCCTGCCCTCCGTCACGGGCATCACATTCAACCCCCTCTCCCCCTTGGAACTCAGTGTCCTCAATGAGGTTTGCCCCACCATGTATAACATAACGAGGGGTGAAGTAGAAAAGGATTAGAAGGGAAAATCTCGGTGATTAAGCATAAACAGTGATGAAGCCAACAAAACAAGAGAATCAGGGATTTAGTCTTTTGCAGGTTAACGAGAAGCTGAGAACAGATTGAGTAAAAGCTCTGGTTAGAATGATATTTTTGGATTAAAACAACGAAACCAGAAAGAAGAAAGGAAAAGAAAAGGTAGAAGCAAGGAAAAAAAGAGACAATATTTGACACTAAAAATGGTACTTAAGACTTTTTACTTGCTAATCTAGAAATGAGTTTGTTCCAACGGAGCTACATATCTCGAATCAATGCAAACTTAATTAAAAACGAACATATTAGAAGCAAAGGATAGCTATAGCTAATAGGAGTACTAACTAATTGAGGTAAAGGCTCAGAAAGTTACTAGTTGTACTCACATCTGGTCCAAGTAAGGATACATTTGGGATTTAGATAATCTCTAGTTTAGAGAATTCCTAATTTCAAATAAATTGCATGAGTATTTAAAAGCAAATGAGCTACTGGTTCCAACTCTGTAGAGTATTCGTATTCATATCGACGACCCCAACTAGTTTTGAATAGAAGCATAGTTGAGCTGAGTAGAGTAGAGCTTGTGATGAGCAATGATCTATTTCCAGTTATTCAGACAAATGGATATAAATGATCAAACATTCTAAGTGCCTGGCTTCTGTTTCCATTAGATGTCTTTAGCATAGAAAGAACAAAAGAATAAAAATGAAATATTGTCACATTACTTAGAACTCCCAAATCTGCATTAACATATCTTTATTTGGTTTAGCCAGATATAATAGCTTCCACTATAAAGATTGTTGGATTTTGCATCTGTTATTGCTACTGTTTTCTAGAATAATTAGTTGTTTAGTTTTTGAAGGAGTCTGCTAGAAGATTCAGAATTTTAATTATAGTAAGAGTTTAGTAATTTAGTTGTAGGAGGAGTCTACTACTTTATTTATTTGGCTATTTAAAGCCCTATGATTAATAAAATTTTAGAGACAGATTTTCAATCCTAACAGTGGTATCAGAGCCTCCATTGATCTTGACGGATCTCTGAATTTGCTGAAAAACAACCAATTTCAACTACTTTTAAACCATACGCATTTTTACTCATACCGATTTTTAACTAAATTTTTAACAATGGCAACCAGCGGTCTCTCTTTGAATACCCCACAAACTTTCACTGGTGAAAACTATCAGATTTGGTCAGTGAAGATGAAATCTTATCTTGAAGCTTATGATCTATGGGAAGTTGTAATAGAAGACAAACTTATACAACTTCCTGCAAATCCTGCTCTTGCCCAAATCAAAGTTCACTCGGATGAGAAAACCAAAAAATACAAAGTCAAAACTATAATTCAAAATTCAGTTGCAGATTCGATCTTCTCTAAAATCATTGCATGTGAGACAGCAAAAGAAGCTTGGGAAACACTCAAACAGGAGTATCAAGGAAATGAACGAGGCAGACAAAATCAAATTTTAAATTTGAAAAGAGATTTTGAATCTCTTAGAATGCAAGATGATGAGACCATCGCTAAGTATTCTAACCAAATTTCTTTAATTATCAATAAAATCAGGTTACTTGGCGAGGATTTCAAAGATAACAGGATAGTTGAAAAAATTCTTGTGACAATTTCTGAGAGATTTGAATCCAAAATTTCCTTTCTGGAAGAGTCTAAAGATCTCTCTACCATCTCTGTTGCAGAATTAATAAGTGTTCTTCAAGCACAAGAGCAAAGAAAGGCCTTCAGACAAGACAAAGTTACTGAGGGTATTTTTTATGCGAAACACCAAAAAGAAAAAGTGATTATCCTTATTGCAAATATTGCAAAAAGAAAACACACTTAAAAAAATTTTGTTGGTGGAGACCTGATGCATTATGTGAAAATTGCAAACAAAAAGGTTATGTTACAAAAGTGTGCAAGTTCAAAGATGCTCATGCACAAGCACTAATAGCAAAAGAAGGAATTGAGGATGACTTTCTTTAGACTGCAGTAACAGAAGCAAGGAGGAGTGTTGGATTTTGCATCTGTTACTGCTACTGTTTTCTAGAATAATTAGTTGTTTAGTTTTAGGAGGAGTCTGCTAGAAGATTCCGAATTTTAATTATAGTAAGAGTTTAGTAATTTAGTTGTAGGAGGAGTCTTCTACTTTATTTATTTGGCTATTTAAAGCCCTATGATTAATAAAATTTTAGAGACAGTTTTTCAATCCTATTTTCAACTTTCTTGCTGCTTGTATATTTTTTTTAAAATCCATAACAAAGATTGCATACTCACAAATCATAGAACTCAAGTTAGTAATGAAACATGCAATGTAAGCATAGCTAGCTAAAATCTAGCTTGCACCAAATTCTGCAACTCATTAATATGCATACTGAATGTGAATATTTTACTCAGAGATCAATTATTTACATGTAAACAAAGTAAAATTGGCTATATTAATTACAAAGACATCAATTGTCTCCACATGTTCTAAATAAACTTAAGCAACATGTAATGCTTCGAATTGGTATGTTCTTCAAACGAGGATAAACTCCTTTATTTATAGCAAGAGACTTATGTCCTTCAAGCTTGCTATAGCTGAGATGATGCCATAGTAAATATTATGACAAAACAAACCAACCACACATTTTAAACTATGTCCCCAAGTTTAATTATCTGTCGATCACACTTTTTTTTTGTTTTTGGAAGGAAAAATAGGCTTATGCTTATAGTGGGATGGATCCCACTAAAGCCAAAAGAAATAACTATATTACAAATGTCCACCTTGATCTAATTTTTTCTAATATAGCAAAATTTGCTGCACCTCTCTTTAAAAGTTCTTGTGGGCTAAATCCTAACGAATTGGTACAAGCTAAGAGCCGGATCTAATCGAGTTACTTTCATCCTAACAAATCTGACTGGACTTTATGTAGCTACTTCAAATTAAAACTCATTTGAGAAATTTAAAATAATACCTAATTTTACTTTTTTGTTTTGGCTGTAACAACAAATTCCTCGTCCATTATTTTTTAACCTGGCTAGATTCAGTTCTGATACCAATTTATTAGGATTTACCCTATAAGGGCTTTTGCATAAAGGTGCAACAAATTTATTTTATTTGCTAAATTTAGGTCAAGGTGAAGATTTGTAATACGGTCATTTCTTTTGGCTTTAGTAGGGTCAGAGGCGAAGCCAAGATTTCAAACTTATGAGTTCGGGGTCCTAATCTTTTCAAGTTACTGAGTTCTAAATTAATAATTTGTATATATTTAATAAAAATTTTAAGACAAATACGTACATGATTTGAACCAAAGCTACTGGGCTCGGCCGAACCCGTAGCTAACACTATGGCTCCGCCTCTGAGTAGGGTATATCCCACTATAGGCATAAGTCTATTTTTTCACCCAAGAAAAAAACTTAACTGAGAGGTAATTAAACTCACGAACAAAGTTTGAAATATGTGGTTGGATAACTTTGTCATGATATTTTCCATAACATCTTTCCAGTAGCAACTTTGAGGCCAAGAGTCTCTTGCTATAAATAGAGGCGATTCTCATTATTTGAAGAACACACCAATTCATAGATAGCAAGAAGTATTACAAAAGTGGCATCTTATGCACTATTTTGTAACAGAGAGTATGTTCTTGTTTTGCTTGTGTGAATTGTGAATTCCTTTGTGAGTGTTTTCGTGGGATTAATTTCTTAGGGTATTTGAAATTAATTAAAATATTTATTCTAATTTTATACTTTTTTTGTATTCTTGTTAGTATAGTAAATTTGCTCCTCTCTACTTATGAATGTATGTCACATTGATCGAACAACGTTAAATTTGTGTTTTCTTTATCTGCATTAATTGTCATCATTATCAACTTGCATTAACTTTGTCATTGTTGTTATAATGCTGCTTTAAAATCCGCATCACCTGATCCGGATCCCGATCCTAACACAACATAAACGTATACACTGAGGCCTGACAATATATTTTATTCTCATGACTCTCGTCCTAAAATTTGATGATGCCTTACTCAATGGAGTTACCTAGCAATTGAAAGAGTTAGACCAATAACCTTGGGAATCAATATTTGAATCCCAACAAAGGCGACATTAGGTGAACATTTTTCATATGGAAAAGTTATCTGTATATGCACTTGAAGGTAGTTTGTATACGATGGATTAGTGTAGCTAGGTGCAAGCAAACTGATCAGAAATCCACATACACAAATAGCAAAAACAGTCTTGACTCTTGAACAAGAACAATATCAATCTCAAAATAAATTTCTCTGTTCGATGCCTTTCTTAAACTCGTATAGAGTCAAACTATATCATATAAATTAAAACGGATAGAGTATAACATTTTCCAAGTTAGCAAGAACCTTTAGTGAATAATTAGCTATATATATCTATCCTCCTTCCTAGCCATTTAGATCTCATCCTTATATTTTCCATCTTTTATAAAAAAGAAAAATAAACAAATATGGAGAAACCTTTTTTGACTCAATAATGCAAACATTTTGTAAGAAACATGACATTGTATGTTGCAATGAAACCATTGGGACTTTCATTTTTAAGCAAAATTTAATTGGAAATTTTACAAGCCAAAATTTCAATTTTACTGTTTAGTATCAACTGTATAACTACTACTGATTCCTTATCTAAGCTATATTTTCTCTCTGTTTATTATATCTCATAAATAAAATATTAATTATCTACTCTATAATGTCCAAAAAGACTTACTTTATGTTGCCGTTTGACAATACTTCTACCTATTCATTATGACGTTGTAATATCAATCTTCAGAGTTAATACATAAAAACAGCTCTTACCAGCCAGTTGTCATAGTTGGTTTTTTTATAACCGAGAAATTTTTGGAGGCCAGTCACTAATGGTTTCAAATTCAATTTATATTTAGTTCGTACACTTTTTCACTTAAAATATTATATTTTATAAGCGATAAAATATGAACTCATAAAGTATATCTAAACTGCACATCACTCGCTGCTGAGACAAGTTGTGTGAAGATTTTTTTGTTTGACGAGTAGTGTTTGTGACACAAAAATTCAAAATTTTGGGTTCACAAATTTCACTTGTCCAGACAAATCCTCACACAACTTGTGTTAATTGTGTGAGACATAAGGTAATATTTTTCTTGAGCTAGTCACTATAATCTTCAGACACAAACTTGTGATAATTTGTGTGAGGATTATCTTTGTTTGACAAGTGACGTTTGTGATCCAAAATTTCAAAATTTTGAATTTACAAATTCCACTTATCAAACAAAGAAACATAAATAAATCTCACACAATGTGACAAAACGTAAAATATTTCTAGAGCTAGTCATCTATTATAATCTTGTCTGCACTTTAACACAAAATATAGGTCTAAATAGGATCTTAGGTTTTATTTGACCTAGCTAAGCAAGAACTCAAAATCCAAAGCTTTCCTAACCCTAAGACAAGTGCTCTCATCAAAGCAAAGACAACGAGCGCCGTTGAAACTGACAAGTGTTGGCTTTGGTTATGGGCGTTTAAATGTTCACTGACATCTTTGTGGGACACTAACTAAACAAAGACAAAAATAAATATGGATTTAAAAAGAAGCAGCATCTCTAGTCTATAGCCATTAATAATACCTCCACCATTGTTAAAGTTCCCTTCATTCCAGCTATTAACACCTGTCACAGACATGCTAAGCAAGAAGGAAACCATATTCAACATAACAAACTAAGAGACAACCCAGCCGATCCCTAAAAGCAAAAAACACATCCCCCAATAGTCTTATTAACTTTTTATGAAACCAAGAAATCTAATAAAGACATTTCATAGTACTAAAACACATTATTCTAAGAAGGAAATACCCCCAAGATACTAATGTTTTATTTAAAAAAGAGAAGCCCGCACACTAAGCTCTCGTTATATGCGGGTATAGTGAAGTGAAGGATCAAATCACAATATCTATTGTACCGAGATTATTTTTACGGTTCGAATCCGTAATCACATGACAGTAATTTTACCGGTTAAGTCAAACGTTACCGAGTTTTATTCAAAGAGAAAATATTTAGAAAAATGGAGTCTTTTTGGGAAGGTGAATAGAGTTCAAGAACTGAATATTTACCTTAGATGAAGATGGGGCTTTTTAATGAACTTAGTTCTTTCCTTTTCCTTTCTGATCTGAATGGTTATAGCCATTGCCATAGAAGAGCTGTAAAGGGGCATCATATAAAGCAGCAGCATTAGGAGCAGCAGCAGTTGCCATTGTAGTGCCAAGAAATAAACTTTGAGATCCATCTATAGGAGAAAACCTCTGGAAGTGATGAGGCAAAATAGATGGTGAAGTAGAAGAAGAATTGGACTGAAGGGTCCCCCTAGAAATGCTGAAGTTCAAATTGTACTCGTTACTTGTATTGCTCTGGGTATTGCTTTCCCCATTGGCGGTCACAACCGGGACTAGGTTGTTACCGCCGAAGGGGAAATGCTGCAGCTCGGGCTGATGGTCTCCTGAAATGCTAAACATTGGCGAAGACACCGCTATTAATGGCTGTAGAGGATTTCCCAAATAAACTTGACCCGAGAAGCCAGTAGAGTTGTCGATTCCACGAGTAGATGATGGGTCTAATAGTCCCGAGGTAAAGTATTCCAAGGGATTTGTAGACCATTGCCTCTGCGTGTTTTGGTGAATAGGACTGGTGTTTCTATTGTTGTTGTTGTTGTTATTGTTGCTCATACCGCCTGCCAATAGCTCGGTGAAAGAAGAGCTAGGGTGCATATTTTGGTGATGATCAGACTCTTTTTCTTTCTCCTTTTTCTTTTCCACCGCCCTTTCATTTGCTCGTCCTCTTGCCTTGATCCGACTTTCGGACCGAGAAAGTGACAATCCAGAACCTTTGCTGGTCTCAGAATTGCTACTACAAGGTTGTTGTTGTTGTTGCTGGTTGAAATTCGGATCATCATCATCCAATTCAACATCAGCTGCATCAAAACCCGGCTCGACCCCAGCACTAGACCTTTTCTCATCACTGAGCTGCTGTGCATCTGGAAATCCCTCCAAAGGAGGCAGCTCAGCAATAGAAGGAGCGGCAGCTTTCAGCAGCCACTCCACGGCCTTGCTCGGCTGATCACAGCCGAGCCGATCTTGCAAATCATAAAACTGTATAGCTGTATTAACCGAAAGGCGAACACGCCTATCTCTTAGCCCTTTTGAAGTCCAAACCTTGCTATGCCTATCTTTCCCTCCTGATGCACGAGATACTCTAACAATTCTTGATGAAGGCCACCCATAAAGTTTACCAATATCACCAAAACTACTCTTTTTTACTTCGCCTACATCATCTAATTCTTCATCTCGGTACCCTATCTTGTTGCTAATTCTTGGAAACTTACACTCTTGAGCTTGAATCTCCTCAATCTCCATACTACAACTTTCATGCCTTTTCTCAAACAATTTTTCCAAAATCAAGAAAACCCCACCTCACAAAAGTAGTTTCTTGAGACTAAGTAGTACTATAGGTTTTTTTTTTTTTTTTTTTTTTATATGTGGATTTGGGATTTAGGGTTTAGAAATGAAGAAAAAGAGAAAAACATGAGCTGGTGTAAGAGGGTGCAGTTGGGGGGACTGTATGTAGACGTGGGATTTGGATGTCCTTTGCATTGATCATGATTACAACAGTACTTTGGCTTTTATATAAAGAGAAAGGAAATAATAGTATGTGTTTGTGTAAAAAGGCGTTTTTTGCGGTTTGATATATCACGTTCAGCTACATATAGGGCTTTGTTCAAAATGTCAGAAGTAGAGGAGATAGGAAAAAGAAGGCTTCTTTTTTTCTTTTCTTTTTTCTGCGGTGATTTCAAAACAAAGGACCTGTGTATTTGTTCAGAACTCTTCTCAGCGCCACAGCTCTGTGTTATACTGTAGAAAAACAGTCAAAACCATAGCCACAAAAATCAGTAAGTTCCAAAAAATACAAAATTTAAAGAAATGACCAAAAAATATCTATGCTAAGAGAATAGGGACACTGCTTTTATCTTTACAATATACAGCTCTCAACCTCTTAAGGTAGAACTTATAGTTTTTTTCCCGTATAGTTTTGGATATTTAAATATTAAATTTAAAATATTGAATTAATAATCAAATTGATTTTCAAAAAGTAAAAAATTCACATAAACTGAAACAGAAAGAATTTTTTTTTTTTCATTTTTAAGAGACTGACCTTCATTTGAGCTAAAACAGGTAGTTTTTCACAGGGCTTTAGATTTAAGCTTTAGGACAGCTAGTTCTTGACCTAAGAAGAAGAAAGAAGACTAATAAGAAGGCAGAGCGGAGAACATTTTTTGTGTGTAATTAAAGATTTGCATACCCTAGAAATTGCATAGGTTAATGCTATGCTCAAAAAGAGAAGATAAACCACACAAATAAAAGAAATAAAATGAAGAATGACATATTAGCTAAAAAATAAACTATTTCCACTAGGACTTAGGTTTATAACTATACCATTAATTAATTGGATAAAATAAATGTTTTTGTTTTCATGTTTGTGTTTGTGCGACTGAGTGAGTGTATACAACAACCACAACAATATAGTATTAATAACATATTCATTTTCCCTTTTGTTGTCTCTTGAAAATAGATGCAGTAACATAGTATTAATAACAGAGTAATTTTCACATGTGGTCATTGTAATTTTCACAGGCGGTCATTCAACTTTATGTTTATTACGTAAAAGTGATTTTTTTTTATTACATAAAAGTCATTCAACTTTGTTTCATTAATCAAAAGTCATTTTTCTTTCTTTTGTTACACAAATATTATTTTACTTTGCTCTATTTATCACAAAAGTTACATTGGTCGGATGTTATAATATATTTATTTGAAAAGTCTATTATGCCCTTGTCATTATAAATCCTCTCATTTATATAGCACCTTCTATATTATATACTATTTAATATATTTTCACCTAGGTATTTTACGTGTAGTTAAAATAACTTTATATTATTTTATTTATTATTTTTATAATATATTCATACATTTAATTTTTCCATGGCAGTCAATTTGTTTTATCATATTCAAACATGAACATATTTTAATAAGAATTTTAGAAAAAGTTTCAAAAATATTTGTGTTTAATATTAAGTTTTTTAAAGCTTTATCTGTTAATATTATTTATTTGAAGTATTATATATTCCATTGTGCTAAATGTAAGTATTTTATTTATTGGATTAATGAGTATAGTTTGGCTAATAAATCAGTGAGCTTTGATTTTATAAAAAATTTCATTAAAAATACTTCATTAAGCATGGTTAAGAACATGGACTTGAGATTTGTTCAAAGCAATGTTACTAATAACTTTAATAATGTTACTCATACATTTGTTAAGAAAAAATTTAAATGTATAAATATATTATAAAAATAATAAATAAAAAATATTAAATTATTTTAATTATAAGAAAATACCTAGGTAAAAATATATTATATAGCATATAATATAGAAGGTGTTGCATAAATGAGAGGATTTATAATGTCAAGGGCATAATAGACTTTTCAGGTGAAAGGTTTGTAAATTCTAGCCAAAATGACTATTGTGATAACTAGAGCATACTAATATAATTTTTGTATAATAAAAGAAAGAAAAGTAAAATTTTGGGTAACGAACACAAAATTGAATGATTTTGTCACGACCCAATTTCTCCCTCCGTGAACCGTCATGACGACACCTAGTCTTTACGACTGGGTAAGCCTAACACTTTGTGAAAATGAAACAAAAATACGAATATTAACTACTAACAGTAACAAATATCTAATAAGCAACTAAATGTCACTCGCGCATATACAATTATCATCTCTGAAAACGTACAAAACAATTTCCAAAACCCGGAATACCGTAAGTCACAAGCTACTAAGAAGTCTTAACTGTTCTATACATCATTTCTACAGAAAGAAGGCAAAATGAACATAGGGGGATAAAGGGGGGACTCAGAGGATCTGCGGGCGCGAGCAGATGTACCTTGAAGTCTCCAATAAGCAGTAGCGACTGCAACTAGTGATGAGGCTAGTAAGATAAATCTGGATCTGCACACGAAAAATATGTGCAGAAAAGGGCGTGAGTACACCACAACGGTACCCAGTAAGTGCCAAGCCTAACTTCGGTCGAGTAATGACGAGATCAGGTTAGGGCCCTATTGGTATACATATAATGAAATAAGACAGAATGAAATATTGCAGTAAAATAAATACAGGAATCTAAGAGGAATAGAATCAATGAAAGACAACAGCTCAGAACACAGTGATAACAACACGGGATCTCCCGAGATACCGTCTCGTAGTCCCAAACGTAAATGTGCAGGGGGATCTCCCGGAATATCATTTCGTAGTCCCAAAATAAATATGCAGAACAGGGAGATCTCCAGGAATATCGTTCCGTAGTCCCAAAGTAAATATGCAGTACAGAGGGATCTCCCGGAATACCGTTCCGTAGTCCCAAAGTAAATATGCAGTACAGAGGGATCTCCCGGAATACCGTTCCGTAGTCCCAAAATAAATATGCAACACAACCCACTGAAGTAACAGTTACAGCAAGAAATCCTACAGTTTAGACTAAGTTCAAGTCAAGGAAAGCAGGAAATTTCATTAAACATACTGCACAGAGTTCAAATAGGCAGTTAAACAAGTAGGCATGCTATTCTAGTCTAAACATGATATTTACATATGCTAGTATGTTTCAATCAAGGAGAAAACAAGTTATGACTTAGTGAAAAACGAAATTTTACAACAAATAGCCCATGTACGTACTCGTCACCTCACGTACACGACGCTCACATATCAAACAGTACCAAATCCTAAGAGGAGTTCCCTCACACAAGGTTAGGCAAGCCACTTACCTCGAACCAAGCTCAATCAATCAGTCATAATTCTTTTCCCACGAATATCCGGCTCCGAGTGGACCAAATCTAGCCAGAATCAATTACATAGCATAAATATAACTATAAGAAACTAATCTAGCTAATGAAATCAAAGCTAACACAAGAAATTGAAAAATCGCTCAAAAAGCCTCCCCGGGCCCACGTCTCGGAAGGTGAAGTCAAAGAATATTGCATCAGTAAAGGTTCAGTGGCGGGGTTAGCCGGTCGAGGAGGTGACTTGGGAGACCGAGCAAGATATGCGCATCCGTTATCCTCATCTTTTCACCACTTCAGGTATGTCTCTATACTCATTCGAGGACGAACGATTGTTTTAAGATTGGGAGGATGTGACAACTCGGCCGGTTGTCTTGAGAGTTATAGCCCCGATCCCCTATTTAAGTACTTCTCCCATATCTATTTCTGCTATTGTGACTTGCCGGGAGGTTTCGTTTTGGTTTTTTTGGAGTGTTTTAGGACACTTAGTCCCTAAATAGAGGTTTAAGCCTTAGGATTAGCACCGTAGTCGGAACTGTGTGAAGACGACTATAGAATGGAATTCTGTCGATTCCGTTAGCTTCGTTGTGTGATTTTGGGCTTAAGGGCATGTCTGGATTGTGTTTTGGAGGTCCGTAGCTCAAATTCGACTTTCGCCATTTCAAGCCTAAATGAGTTACGGACCTCCAAAATACAATCCGGGCATGCCCCTAAACCCAAAATCACACAACGAAGCTAACGAAATCGACAGAATTCCATTTCGGATTCGTCTTCACATAGTTTCGACTATGGTGCCAATCCTAGGGCTTAAATCTCCATTTAGGGACTAAGTATCCCAAAACACTCCAAAAAAACTAAAACGAAGCCTCCCGGCAAGTTACAATTGCAGAAATAGATACGGGAGAAGTAGTTAAATAGGGGATCGGGGCTATAACTCTCAAGACGACCGGTCGGGTCATCACATCCTCCCTCTCTTAAAACAATCGTTCGTCCTCGAACGAGTATAGAGGCATACCTGAAGCGGTGAAAAGATGAGGATAACAGCTGCGCATATCTTGCTCGGTCTTCCAAGTCGCCTCCTCGACCGACTGACCCCGCCACTGAACCTTTACTCATGCAATGTTCTTTGACCTCAGCTTCTGAACCTACCTGTCCAAAATAGCCACTGACTCCTCAACATATGATAGATCCTTGTCCAACTGGACTGAGCTGAAATCCAACACATGAGACGAATCGTCGTGATACCTCTGGAGCATCGAAACATGAAATACCGGATGAACTCCTGCTAGGATGGGAGGTAAGGCAAGCTCATAAGAAACCTCCCCAACTCGCCGCAACACCTCAAAGGGGGCAATAAACCTTGGGCTCAATTTGCCCTTCCTTCCGAACCTCATAACGCCCTTCATAGGCGAAACCTGAAGCAGGACCCGCTCTGCAACCATGAATGCAACATCGCGAACCTTCCTGTCCACATAGCTCTTCTGTCTGGATTGGGCTGTGTGAAGTCTGTCCTGAATCACCTTCACCTTCTACAAGGCATCTTGAACCAAGTCCGTACCCAATAATCTGGCCTCTCCCGGTTCGAACCAACCCACTGAGGACCGACACCGCCTACCAAACAGAGCCTCGTACGGTGCCATCTGAATGCTGGACTGATAACTATTGTTGTAGGCAAATTTCGCAAGTGGCAAGAACTGATCCCAATAACCTCTAAACTCCATCACACACGCACGGAGCATATCCTCAAGAATCTGAATAGTGCGCTCCGACTGCCCGTCCGTCTGAGGGTGAAAAGCTGTGCTCAACTCCACCCAAGTACCAAACTCCTATTGTACGGCTCTCCAGAACCGCGATGTAAACTACGTGCCCCGGTCAAAGATGATAGATACCGGTACGCCATGAAATCTGACAATCTTACGAATGTAAATTCGATCCAGCTGCTCGGAAGAATAGGTAGTCATCACAAGAATGAAATGAGCTGACTTGGTCAGCCTGTCCACAATCGTCCAAACTGCATCAAACTTCCGCTGAGTCCTTGGGAGTCCAACAACGAAGTCCATAGTGATCCGCTCCCATTTCCACTCCGGAATCTCTATCTTCTGAAACAACCCACCGGTCGCTAATACTCATACTTCACCTGCTGGCAATTTAGACATTTAGCTATATACTCTACTATGTCCTTATTTATCCTTCTCCACAAATAATACTGCCTCAGGTCCTGATACATCTTCACGGCACCCAGATGAATGGAGTACCGCGAGCTGTGAGCCTCCTGGAGAATCAAGTCACACAAACCGTCCATATTGGGCACATATAACCTGGCATGCTTCCTCAATGCACCATCCTCCCCAATAGTGACCTCCTTAGTATCACCGTATTGGACCGTGTCCTTAAGGACAAGCAAATGGGGGTCATCATA